TATGTCTCTATCTATCTGTCTCTATGTCTCTATCTATCTGTCTCTATATGTCTATGTCTCTATCTATCTATGTCTCTGTCTCACTCTCTCTGTCTCTCTGTCTCACTCTCTGTCTCACTCACTCTCTCTGTCTCACTCTCTCTCTCTGTCTCACTCGCACTCACTCGCTCTGTCTCACTCACTCTGTCTCACTCTCTCTGTCTCACTCGCTCTCTCTCTGTCTCTCTCTCTGTCTCATTCGCTCTCACTCTCTCTGTCTCACTCTCTCTGTCTCATTCGCTCTCACTCTGTCTCACTCGCTCTCACTCTCTCTGTCTCACTCTCTGTCTCACTCTCTCACTCTCTCTGTCTCACTCTCTCTCTGTCTCACTCGCGCTTTCTCTGTCTCTCTCTCTCTCTGTGCACGGAGAGCAGCTGATCAGCTGCAGCAGGAAGTTTATCCTCCAGTATGGGCTGCTCAAAGGTGCAAGAGGGGCTAAATAATTTAAAATAATCAATTTAAAATAAATATTTCATGCCGATCGTGCGGCTCATCCATCAATCAGCCACTTGTGTGTCATGTCCAATCTTTATTTTGAAAAACCGCGATAGAGCGAGTCGGCGATAAACAAACCGTGAAGAAGCGAGGGACTGCTGTACTGGAAATAGCTTTTTGAGCATTTAGAGCTGTCCTGATGCAGTCGGACCACCACAGACTCAAGTTGGTGCCAGCTCCGTCCAGGATGTGTGCCTTTGTTTTTTACGTTCCATGAATCCTTGCAGTTTTCCCGCGCCCCCATGGGAAATCGTTCGCCCACCGCAGTGAGTTAAAGCAGGCCAAACGGATTGTGGTGAAGCTGGGGAGTGCGGTGGTGACGCGTGGGGACGAGTGCGGCCTGGCGCTGGGCCGGCTGGCCTCCATCGTGGAGCAGGTGAAGCTGTTCGCAGACTCCTAATAACGCTGAGGTGCAGCCATGTTTGAAGCTGGCCGTGTTTCTGTCTTCAGGTGGCCATGCTGCAGAATCAAGGCAGGGAGATGATGATCGTTACAAGCGGCGCTGTGGCGTTCGGGAAGCAACGACTCCGACATGAAATCCTTTTGTCTCAGAGCGTCAGACAAGCCCTGCACTCCGGACAGAACCAGCTCAAAGACATTGTGACTACACTATTATGCTTCGATTCCAACGTGCATAAATGTTGATTATGTTGTCACGTTGACTTGAGCTTGCTCTTCAGTCAGTCCCAGTTTTGGAGGCCCGAGCGTGTGCAGCTGCCGGACAAAGCGGTCTGATGGCCCTCTATGAAGCCATGTTCACCCAGTACAGCATCTGCACAGCACAGGTACACACCCGAGCATCGTTTGTGAACGAACGGCAGACGAGTAAACGCTCGCTGTTTGTGTCTCCCCGTTCAGATTCTGGTCACCAACCTGGATTTTCACGACGAGCAGAAGCGTCGCAACCTGAACAGCACCCTGCACGAGCTGCTTCGAATGAACATCGTCCCAATCATCAACACCAACGACGCCGTCGTCCCTCCCCCCGTGCCCAACAGCGACCTACAGGGGGTAAATGTGGGTACTGCGCGTCACGCACTCTGGGAATGCTAAGGGCCAAATCGTGGAAAGGAATTGCTTAAACTTTAATGTGTGCATATTTAAATGATTCTTAGTATTATTTATAATGTAGTTTGAATCTTAAAGTTGAGTCTTTTCGTCCAGCTGTTCATGCTAGCTCAGGTTGTGACTGATCAGCTGTTACTCTGACAAGTTTTCATATTGATCCGTTTTATTTTGTTTGTTTTCCAGGTAATAAGCATAAAAGATAACGACAGCTTGGCTGCTCGGCTCGCAGTTGAAATGAAAGTCGATCTCCTTATCGCCCTGTCTGATGTCCAAGGTAAAAAAAAATACAACGTGCAAGTTTGGTGCCTGCTTAATTTTACACGCCCGTCAAAGGCGGACGTTTATCGGTAAAGTCTCCGTACGTCTGTAAACGTTCTCATTTCTGATCCGCTCAAGATAATTTAACAAAACTTCGTTCACATTTGTACCGCCACTAGACAAAATGTCACGTAATCTTTCCTAGGCCTGTCGCGATAAACAGTAAATCAGTTAATCGCACGATAAATGAAAATGAGGTTGATAATTTTCATTTATCGGCTTCATCGTTTCTTCGTGTCTCTCTTTCTACTGAAGACACTGGATGAGAAAAGAATCGACTCCAGTGCTCCTCACTGACTCCTCCCTTTCTCTTTAAAATATGTTTTAACCGTCCAAATTGTGTTTTTGGATCGTTAAAAGCAGCTAAGCTGAGATGCTAAGCTAACAGGCCGACCTCGGGGGATAAAACTTCCGTCTTGCCGAAGCGCCAAAATTCACGGTTGAAACTCGTGCCTTCGTGTAAAAAGTTGTTTTTC